GAGGAGGAGGTGAGACCTGGACATCAGAACATGAATGGAACCAACATCCTCCTAGAAGATTTGCTAATCTAACTTGGGTGATTTTAAAGTAGATTGGCAGGGGAATGTGATCCTGACAAGTAATTCAGAGGAGAGAGAAGCCGAGATAGAATTAGAAGATAAAACATGAGTAAGTGAGTCTGAAGGCAGGGGTTAGATAAGAAAGAAAAACCAAAAGAACTGCGGATGCTGTAAATCAGGAACAAAAACAAAGTTGCTGGAAAAGCTCAGCAGGTCTGGCAGCATCTGTGGAGGAGAAAACAGAGAGAAAACTGTTCTGAGGAAGGGTCACCGGACCCAAAATGCTAACTCTGTTTTCTCCTCCACAGATGTGTTAGATAAGAAAGAAATGAGTTTAGCAAGGCTAGATGGAATATATATTAATGCAAGGAGTCTGAGGAATAAGATAAACAAGCTGAGACCACAGAATAGGCACAGGAGAGTATGATACCTAGCTTTGTCAGCTCAGGATCAGGATTGGCAGCTCAATATTTCTGGCTATTGTGCATTTGAATGAGATAGAAAAGGGTATAGAAGATAAGGAGGCAGGGTCACAATATAGATTAAGGAATCAATTATACCGGTGAGGAGGAATGATACCTTGGAAGGATCATCAAATGAGGCTGCATGAGTAGAAGTGAAATACACGGAAGGGGCAAGCACACTGTTTGTTATCTACTATAGGCACCCAAACAGTCAGTGAGAGATAGAGGATCAAATAAGCTGAGAATTATGATAGTAATAAGGAAGTAATTGTTAGGTCTTTAATAAACCAAACATTAAGTGGGATAACTTTATTGTGTAAATTAGGGAGGAAGTAAAATTCTTAAATTGCATTCAGGAGTTTTTTTATGCGGGGGTGGGGGGTGGGTGCGGTCTGGCTCTAAAGATTCGGAAATGACCCTGGGCAGGTGGAAGGTGCATCAATTGGGAAGCATTTTTGAGGTAGTGACCATAACTCAGTTTGATTTAGAAGTGTTATAGGAAAGGTTAAGGTTGGACTTGGAATTAAAGTTCTAAACTGGGGAAAGGCTCGTTTTGCAAAGACAAGATACAATTTTCCCCAAGTGGATTTGGGTCAACTACTTGCAGATAAGCTGTGTCACAGATGTAGGAGGCATTGAAGGAAGAAATAGCAAGACCACAGGGGAAATATAACGACAAAGGGTGGTACCAAGACCAGAGAACCCTGGCTGTCAAGGGGCATAAAGGTTAGTATTAAGAAGTTTATGGAAGAAATTGAGGGTTCAGTACAGTAAAATCCAGGCAAGAACTTAAAAAGAAACTTAGGGAAGTGAAGAGATCATTCACTTTGGTAGGAAGTTTTAGGTTTGCTTTTATTGTCATGTGTATAAAAACACAGTGAAAAGTGTTTTCTCACATGTTATAAACAAAGTGTTGTCGCGCTCCAGTACCATTTTGAAACATGGAGTATAATGCAAGATTTAACTGCAATAGAGTTCATCGTTTTCTCTTTTATTCTTATTCCTCAATCGCTGCTCCTCCAGTCACTGCTTGACATTGGCTGGAGTCTCTGAACAGGGTCCGGGATCTCTGTAACAAGCTCTGGGGTCTTGGTTATGGGCGTCCACTGCCGACAATCCCATGACTGTCTCATCTGAGCTGCAGCCATGGGCCTGGGGATACGCTGGTTCCTCCTATTCCCCATCCAATGCTCTCCAGACACTGCTGCTGGTCTGCCATTCATCCCTTTCGCCAATGCTGCCACTCCCTCAGGCGCCTGGGCCTAGCTGTGGACATGTAGCCTCAGCTCAGCCTGTGGGTCTGGGACGGGGGAGTCAGCCTGGGACCTGCTGTTCGCTGGAAGGGTGATCACGAGTTGGGTGGAGCAGTATTCACCACATCCTGGCATTGCTACTGCTGCCGCTAGAGGCTTCCTCCTTCACCGGCCACTCTCCAGGCTTTAAAGCAAAGAAAACAAAGAAAAAAAGGAGAGAAAAAAGCATTAGAGCAAAAGTAAAAAGAAAAAAGGAAAGAGAAAGAAAGCAGACTGGAACGGGATGAGCCCAAGGCTCAGACCTGCTACTCCACTGCCATCTTGAACTGAAGAATCAAAGGGCAGACTATTATTTAGCAGACAGATACTCCACAAAAGTGCAGCACCAAGTGATTGGGTGTTCTTGTGCATGAAACCCAAAATGTTAGTAAGCAGATGCTGCAAATACCTGGCTAATGGAATTTTGATCTTTATTGCTGAGGGGCACATGTGGGGTGGAGTTTAAAAATAGTTAAGTCTTGTTACAAATGTACATATTGATGAGGCCACACCTGGAGTACTGTGTAGTTTTGGTCCCCATATTTAAAAAAAAGAAGGTACTGGTATTGGAGGCTGTTCAAAGGGTTCACTAGGCTAATTCCTCAGATAATGAGGTTGGTCATGAACAGCTAAACAGATTCAGCCTATATTCATTAGAATTTAGAAGACTGAGGGGTGATCTTATTGAAATATACCAGATTCTGAGGATGCCCACCAGGGTAGATGTTGAGACAATGTTTCTGCTATTGGGAGAATCTCAATCTAAGGAGTATAGTTACAGAGTAGGGGACACTTACTTAAAAATGAAATAGAAATGAATTTCTTCTCCCAGAGGGTAGCAAATGTCTAGAATTCTCTGCCCCAAAGAGTTATAGGCTGGATCTCTTGTAAGTATTTAAAGAGGAGGCAGATAGATTTTTGGAAATAAAGAGAAAGCTAAAGTGTTTTTATAAAGAGCAAACAAAAAACTAAGAAAAGAGTAGGACCCACGAGAGACCATCAAGGTTATCTGTATATAGGCCCAGATGTAGGCACAGTCCCCAATGAATACTTTGCATCAGTCTTCACAATGGAAAAGGATACAGAAGAAACAATGGCCTAGTGGCATTATCGCTGGACTGTTAATTCAGAAACCAAGATAACATTCTGGGTTTGAATCCAGCCACGGTAGATGATGAAATTTGAATTCAATAAATATCTGGAATCAATAATCTACTGATAACCATGAATCTGTTGCTGATTGTCAGGAAAAACCCATCTGGTTTACTAACCATGTAAATGTCCTTTAGTGAAGGAAACTGCCATCCTTACCTGGTCTGGCTTATATGTGACTCCAGCAATGTGATTGACTCTTAACAGTCCTCTGGGCAATCAGGGATGGGCAATAAATGCTGACTAAAAACAACACCCTCATCCCGTAAATGAAAAAAGAAAAAAAATTATGGTGAAGAACTGTGAAATATTAGAAAAAAACTAACCTAGAAAGAGAGAAAGTACTATGGGTTTAGCAGCCTTAAAAGTGGATAACTCACAGACCTGAATGAGCTGTATCCCTGACTGTTGAGGGAAGCAAGGACTGAGACATCAGGGGCCCTGGCAGTAGCTTTTAAATCCTCTCTGGCCACAGGCGAGGTGCCATAGGACTGGAGGGCTGCTAATGCTGTTTCATTGTGCAATAATCTGGACCAGTTATATATATTTTTAGCATCATTTATTTTAGCTTCAGGTTTTTTTGCCTTAAGTTAATAAGTAAATTGCATGTATTTCTGTGGCCAGGATGATTTTCTTACAACTGTTTGTGAGAGCTTCTTTGACAGCACTAATAGTATTTTATTTACGTTAAGATGACTTACAACTTGACATGGCAGATCATTGCATTTTAATGCCTGTTAAGAAATTTCTAGACATTCTGTAGAGATTTACTAAGCTAGGGGAAATGCCCATATTTTAGAGATAGAGACTTTTATCTGTTTCGCAGCAGTTCTGTGAAGTCCTTGGTCCCTCATAATCAGCTAAGGTAAGAACCTAAGATCCAAGGCAAAATGGAACGTTGGATTCAAAATTGGCTAAAAGGCAGGAAGTGGAGGGAATGAGGTGGTTTTTGTGCCTGGAAGTCTGTTGCACCATGAGGTTTGGTGTTGGGCCCTTGCTCTTGCGGTGCACATGGTTGACGTGTATATTTGTAGTGTGGTGGTGAGCACCACAATAGGATAGACATAAACAGCAGGTGGATATTAATGGACTGGTCAGGTGGGCAAAATCGTGGCAAATGAAATTCAAGCCAGATAAATGTGAGGTAGTGCACCTGGGGAGGGTTAACAAGGCTCCCGGAATTATACTACGCATAGTAGTATCCTGGATAGTCCTGAAGATCAGAGTGATCTTATTGTTTAGATCAACAGATCCCTGAAGGTAGCAGAGTTGGCAGATAAGGTTGTTAAGAAGGCATATGGGATGCTTACCTTTATTAGCAGAGGCATAGGATGCAAGAGCAAGGAGGTTATGCTGGAATTGTATAAAACACTGTTTAAGCCATTACTGTATGCTGTTCTGGTTACACTATAGGAAGTGGTTTCACTAGGGAGGGTACAGTGAAGCTTTACAAGGATGTTGCATGAAATGGAAAGAGCTATGAGGAAAGATTGGATAGGCTGGGGTTTTGGAGCAGCAAGGTTGACAGGGGACCTAATAGAGGTGTATCAGGTTATTAAGTGCATATATGGTGTGAATAGGAAGGCACTTTTCCCATTAGTAGAGGGGACCAATAACAGGGGAGGGGGCGGGGCATAAATTTAAAATAAGACATAGAAGCCCAAGAGGTGAGTTGAGAGTGTAGAACTCATTGCCTGAAGGGCTGGCTCAGTCAGAAATTCCTGAAAGATTTAAACAGTATTTAGATATTCACTTGTTTTGCGGGGCTATGGGCCAAGAGCAAGAAATTGAGATTAGAGCAGTCAGATGTTTATTAGCCAGGCGGGACTCAATGAGCCGAATGGTTTCTGTTCTGTGAACGACTATGAGACACTGTTCTTTGAGATGACCGAGCAGCAGTCGGATAACCTAGAAAGACTCTGTTTATCCCAATCTCTGATTTTTGTACATTGTGCAATCTATGCCTACATATTACACTGAAATTCACGGCTCTTCTCTCGTGTAACAACCTTTAATAAGAAATTCCCTTCGAAAAACCTGTTGTACCACATTCATTTGTTCCTATCATCTACCTTGATGGTTGGACCCAGAAACAACTCAAATTGTTGGGAAAATACAACTTTCACAACTGTTTTATTACTACAACCAAAGTCACACCTTGGTCAAGCTTGAAAGAAACTAAATCCTTATAGCTGCAAGCCGATCACTTTAAACATGCCAGATATGATACATATTAGGGAGGAGCAATATAAGGGCTTTATGTTGTTGCTGAGAAGGGTTCAGTCACCAACTATTCGCGCCGTGAACAGAGAGGCTACGCTTCAGTTGCTGCCTGGTTGGAAATTACTCTCATCTGCACATTAGGCCCGAAACGCGCCAGCGCCTGCCAGAGCAATGAAGACGATGAAGACCAGGATGCTCAGTACAGAGGCAGCGATGTTGAGTGCTTGGGCTTTGCGGGCATAGCGCTGAGCTCCTTCTAAATCCCCTTGCATTTTCCGATCTCTGCACTAAAAAGAAAACGAGTGCAAATTATCAACAGCATGTGCAGCTCTCCCTCACATTACTGCAGGTGCCTTGTATCAAATGGCCGAGAATTTGTTACACTAGGCACACACCGAGCCCGCGAAATGTTACAGTCTCCAAGTCAACCCAACAGTTCCAAGCCACTGGCAGCCTCCTATGCTTTTTTTCCTTCGATTTAGATGCTGTCGTCTAGGTTCCTCATTGTAGCCGCCTCCACTAATCACCCACCACCTTCTCAAAGCCACAAGCACCTCCAAATACCTTCAACGAATGTAAACGTGAAAGAGAAGGAAATGCAAACAATTACACACCACACACACACACATTCACACACAGAGGAATGGAAGGAGAGACAGATAGTGAGGGGAAAATGCACATAAATTGCAAAGTTTACATCCCACTTTAACCTTTGAGCTGGGAAAGGATTCAGGGACTGGATCATTGACGGAAAGACAGGGAGACAGGTCCATCTCTCCACCCTGTTAAAATTGGCCTATTTCTGAAATTTTATGCTGTACAATGACAGGTCAATTCTGAGGATCTCCCACTTTATTAATGAAGATATATTGAGCCACTGTCGAAGTTGACGCAGATTTTCCCTCTTATTGCCTGGGATCAGTGGGGTCTACAGCCTGGACCAGCCTATCGAGTGCTCGGGATTAGTGGGAGACTGCAGCACAAATGGACACCCCACTCCCCCGAAGCCCCCGCCCGGTGCTCCTCATCCTCCCCATAGCACCCCCCCCCAAAAAAAAATCTGACGCTCTCAAGTCAAATGCCCAGGATCCCTGTCTCCTTCCTGGGGGCCACTGCTCGGGATCATAGTCCCCCACCATCTCCCCTCCCGATGTCTTTGCCTGCGGTTCCCGCACTCACTTTGACCGAGAAGAGCAGCGCCGCTAGGCCGAAGCAGAAGAAATTCATGTAGGAGAGGTTAAAGATGGACCAGATTACGTAGTCCCGGACCGACCCAATTTCATAGGAACTCGTGTTACCGTTGTTCGAATCTTTCGCCATCAGTTTGGCAATGTAACTTCAGCTGGGGCAGCAAGAAGTGACACACCAGTGATCCGGGCTCGGCTATTTATAGGCAGAGGGGGAGATTCCAGCACAAATTAACTGTTCCCAGTATTGTAGAGGTGTGCAAAACCCTCTGGGATATATTTAAGGCTATCCTCAGCGTGTGTCACTGGGATGTGCAACACTGTTCTCAGCGAGTGTCACTGGGATGTACAACACTGTTCTCAGCGAGTGTCACTGGGATGTACAACACTGTTCTCAGCGAGTGTCAGTGGGATGTACAATACTGTTCTCAGTGTGTGTCACTGGGATGTATAATACTGTTCTCAGCGAGTGTCACTGGGGTGTACAATACTGTTCTCAGCGAGTGTCACTGGGGTGTATAATACTGTTCTCAGCGAGTGTCACTGGG